GTTTCTGAGAAATCTTCGAAGAACAGCGTGAACCCGAGCGTAGCGAGAGCTGGGCATTAACGGTTTATGAGAGGCGATTGACAGTTTCTGACGATGGAAACAGATCTGGAGGATTCAAACAGTTGGTGAAAGTTTGGATAGTCACCGTTCATTTTTCCTGGTGCCGGTCAAGTCCTCTTTGAACAAGCGATATCTGGAGCGTTTTTGGAATTGGGTCAAGTTCAACAATGCCTGGGTCAAAGAAGGGACAGAGTGTCTTGGATACAAACAGGAAAGTAAGTCATGCTGACTTGTCTGTTAATTGTAACGATGTGTCTGATGTTAAGCATGACATGGTTGATGTTACTGTTTCGCCGTTCAGGGATAATAGGAACATCAAACTTCCTAAGTGTGAACCACGATGTTTTGATGGAAACCCGGCTGATTATTTACAATTTGTAAAGGAGTTTGAGATCATGTTGAGTGGTTTTTTATTAACTGATGAATTGAAGTTAATGTATTTGATGAGATATTGCACTGGGGATGCTGCAAGAGCTATACAGTGTTGTAAGTTTATGAAGCCAAAAGAGGGCCACGATGAGGCTATGAGCATATTACGTCAAGGGTTTGGAAGACCTTCAATGATTGCAGGGAAATTATTCGACGCTGTTAAGGGTAATGGCGGTCAATTACAGGATGACTCCCAGGCACTCACTGAGTTTTTGGATAATTTGCTAATTTACAAGAATGGAATGATTTCGATGAATCGAATGAGTGACCTCAACTCGAGTTTTATTCTAGAAGTAATAGCAAGACGTCTACCTACTCGACTGCAAACGAAGTGGGTGAAGATAAGCTCCCGTGTGGAGGATGAGGGTATCGAGCCAAAGTTTGATGATATCCTGAAACTGGTGAATACTAGTGTCAATCAATCTATGAGCAAGTTCGCCAGTCTATTACACCTCACCCCTAGAATAGAGCAGTCTGAGATCAAAATGCAATCATTGATGACGAGTAGGCCTCAGAGAGGTGGTTATCGAGAAAGCTCCATGATGTCTAGTAATGCATATAGACCTAGTGAGTATAACAGGTGTCACAGAATAGAGTTGCTGCTTCAGAGTGCATTTCTGACCCTACAAGTTTACAAGGTATTACTAGTCAGAGTGAAGTTATAAAACCTTTTAGGATTTGCGAGGAGGAAGCAAAATTGTCCACTGCTGTTATTAAAGAGTTTGAAATTAATGAAGTCGACCAGATGCATTATGGTAAATTGAATATTTGTGATAATGATCATGATAGTGCAGATTTGTCTTTGGTTGATCATGATGAAATGAGGGATATGCCTACTACTGCTAAGTTGAACAAAGGTTCTGTACAACTACAACGTGAAGTAGAATTGAACGCAGATGCAGTTCCAGAAGATGTGCATACTTGTGAGGCAGTCAGTGTAATTGATCAGCGTGTAGCCCACCTATCATCAGATGATAGTGCTAAACCCGAACTAGTAGTGAAAGACAGCTGTGGTGGTAATCTTGCAGTTGGACAACTATCTGAAAGCCGAAAGAGAACAGCTTCTGATCCACCGCTAATTTCATCACCTTGTGTCACTCAGTCATCGTTGGTGCTGTCATCCACAATGAAACAGACACCCATCAACTCAAGTACCTTGTGCAATGACTATGGTAGTATCAGTTCGTTTGAAAGGACGAATATCAATGGTCAGTTTAGTGAGAATAAGCCAAGTGTAAACGAGAGAGTAATTGTTAAATTGACTTGCACTAATAAAGGCATTTCTATTTTCAAGTTACTAATTGAATGTTATTATCTTTGGTGCAAATTACTCTGTTTCTACGCTTGGTTGATGAGATATGCCGTGTGTTTGTTCGTCATCTATATTCTACGATACAATGACATGAGCGTGTTACCGTTCAGATTTGAGGATATAGCTGTTAGAAGGAAGTCAGCAAATGAACTCTGCAACGATTTTCCAGCCTAGAGCGTCAACCTGAGAAGGGTTGTAGGCGTACTGCTGTAAGTCCCACAATTCTTCAAAGGGTAGCGCATCAATGAGCAGTCCAATGTGCTTGGTGTGTGATTTTGTATATATGTTCATATTGTATATACTGAATTGATATCATCTGTCATCTAGCTGTTGGTAATTCCGTCTGTGTCCGGACGACTTCCACTTGGATCATCAACCTGAGAAGGAATGTAGGCCTACTGCTGTAAGTCCTACGTTTCTTCAAGAGTAGTTTGTCGTGCCAGAATCCACAACATTTGATGTGTTGATTGTACATATGTTTGTGTTAAATAGTTGTGTGAGTTCCAATTATTGTAATTGTTGAATAATCTTGTTTGTGTCTGGACATTCCACAACTTACAATCGTCAACCTGTGAAGGGTTGCAGGCGCACTGGCGTGAGTCCTGCAATTCTTCAAAATAATTCCACTAAGACATGATCCGCGAGGTTATTTGTACTGTTTGTGTATACGTGTGGTGTGTCTTCGCAATTTGTGATTTTGGATCAGTTGTGTTTACTCGTTGTTTTCGTGCCTTGATTTTATTGCATAATTTTGCTGAAATTTTCGTCGTGATTACTTCTGAAGTTGTTTCTTGTCTTCTACATCCGTGAATGAATTGATTGATGTTAAGGACAGCAGATGGGTCGTATACGCCGGGGAGGCTAGGCTATTGCTGAGAATGAAACGCACACGGAGATAATTGTTAGCTGCGGTCCGACACGCCGGGGAGAAAGAGTGTAAACTACTGAGGCTCGCATGCGTCACCGCTACTAGAACTGAGGCAGAATGAGTGACAAGCGATTTCAGTGGTAATTGGTCGGGAGTAATTAAGAGGATGTGCGTAGAGTTTCGTGAGGTCCTGCCATGGTCACTTTGCATTCTGCAAGAGTCATTCTAGCAAATGGCCATTGTGTTGCAAGATGTCAAGAGGAGGTCTCTGTCTGGAGGCGCAGGTCGTCATTGATGTGTGAGATTGTGCTGTGAGTATGCTTGTGGTGTGTTGGCTTTTCTGTTTGTTTTCCATTTCAGCTCTGTCCGTGTGACCCAGGTTCTCGCAACGGCATCCAAGTCAACGTGTATTGGTCGTGAAGGAAAAAAGGGGTTGTATCCCTTTTTTGCCGGGGAGTGTCAATGTAGTTGAAGATTGAACGATCAATTCATGGTTGTTTGCTCAAAATCAACTTCCCCAATTTTCGCGGAGGCATCAATACACCAGTCATCGTCTCATCGGTCGCTGTTCAGAAAGAAGAGTGAAACATCGTCAGAAGTAATATTGTGATTTATTATTGTAATATTTGTTTATAGACCTTAGTTCACTTATTCTATTTATATGTTGGTGTGACAATAAAGAAATATCAAGCGGCAGATCGGTGTTTTGGATTTTTCGTCCGTTATAACTAAGCGTTTCTGAGAAAACTTCGAAGAACAGCGTGGGCCCGAGCGTAGCGAGAGCTGGTCATTAACGGTTTATGAGACGTGATTGACACCACATGAAAAGAAAAAAGTTACTTGGATATCATTTATAATCCACCAACTGGTCTCCTACCCAAAAATAATGCGGCGATGTTTTATCCAAAACGGCGAGGAAATACATAAACCCACAGCAGCTGTTGTTAACACTCAGTGGGGGTAGGAGCCAACAAAGTAATCTTTTCAAAGCATATGTAAACTTTAAATGGGCACGGAGACTTTGTAGAATACGTTATAATCCAAATCACTACCTCTAGAGCACCAATAAACCTGGATATCTATGACATAACGAAAACATGCTGAAAGCTGCATCTCAGATCAAGTTGACTCATTCCATGGTAATGATCTCCTCCTGCGTGCCTTATTCGACATATTGAATGGAATGGTTCGCAGTTATTCTGGTACTAGATCGAAAAGAATAAAAAATTCACCGGTTGCTGAATCAAAAGTACTTCTCTGCATGTTTAACTGTACTCTAACTGCTATCATTAATTCCAAACCATTTATCCCATAATCACTCAAATTCCAGGAACGATCCAATTCTACCATTTAAAGAAGCTGGCGAACATGCTGTAAATGAGTATTCATGATCTGAAATAAAGAAGCAACTGGTTTTCAAACAGTTTTCAACACTTTACTCAACTTACGAATACAGTCCGCCATGCAGACACAAATGGCGCAAATGGAGAATTCTGGAATCGACCTCAGGACCATTTGATGCAGTAAAACAACTTAACGTGACCGTATCTAATTTTCGCCTCCACGATCAAATTTCTTTCCTGTTATGAAACTACGATAAGACTGCTGAAAAATGGAATTAATATATCAGTGATGTCAACATAATACATCAATAATCTTTAAGCCAAGGGTGCTGTTCACAACAAAGTTATATAAGAGAATTGACTTCAGGCTTTATTTTTCCTAGATATCCGTATTACATTCGAGTGATGTCTGGGTTTTTTGTTAATGCGAAGACAATATTTCTATATCTCTTTATGTGCTACACAAACAGACTTTATAGCAGACTGTTCCGACTGACTCTAATGTCAGAAAGAACAACCACACTGGGAATTCATCATATATCAAATTTTGTGTAATTTATATAATAAAATATCCATGTCTGCACAATTGGTATGTTCCTACATGGACAGGAACAAATATATATTTTTATTAAAACAATAATTATGCATACCTATACAACGGGTGTATCCTAAATAGCTAGGAAAATTTATGTACCTTATTATATTATCTTTACTAAATATGCTTAATAGATGTGTAAAACGTGGGCACTGTGGTAGTAAGTAATTCCATATTAGTTTGTTTATTAGATGTATCACACAGTGAAACAGTATTGTATACTGAATGACGTTTCGAACACAATTGTTGTTCGTGAATTGATATGACTATGAACAACAAATTGTGTTCGAAACGTCATTCAGTATACAATACTGTTTCACTGCGTGTGTGATGTACCTTATTATATTAGCTTTACCAAATATGCTTATTAATATTATGTGCAAATTATCGAATTGATGATGCCTGTAAACTGGCGTCCCTCATTTAAAAAATGAAAATATATATTATTATTATAAAAACATTCAGCATATAAAATGGAAATAGCAATAATGATGATAACAGTTAGGGTAATAATAATAAGAATACAGGTGAAAATTGCCGTTGGCTTGTGTCACACAGTATTGGCAATGTGGTATAGAAATCCTAACATGTTTAAAAACATTGAATATAATGTTCTCTTTACATGATATTGTGAGGGGAAAACAAAGATTACTGCCGTCATGGAGATAAGTTGGTGTTTGCAATTATGAGAGTAAAACAGAGAAGTAGCAGGACCATAAATATAATAGAAGTAATAAAAGTAAAACTTGAAGGTATATAAGGATGGATGGAGGAAATTGTTTATTTGTTAGATGAAAACAGGTTAGTTAATTCTTGCCTGACACTATTTTCATCACATAAAATACATGCCAAGTATGGTATCATAGACTTCTTATACTTAGACGTGCGAGCATACAGTTTTCTGAAGTTACTTCTTGTTCTACCTGAGGAGATGCAAGGTGAAAGCTGAGTGAGGGTAAAGCGGATGCTCCAAGTCACATAAAATCCCTCTAGCAAATTTATTGCATGAAGACAAGTGCCTATCGACAACGACGTTAACTATGTGGTCCACTGGGACACCACTCACCCTCCTGACCGTCTTCAGTATTCTACGAATTTTGACATAGACCTATTTAAGCAAACCAGGAAAGAATAAGGGTGAGCAATAAAGAAGAATAGGTAGGATGCAAGAGTTTATGAACTGTAAGAGGAGGGTTTGGTTGAGTTATACCCGAGTGTCTTAACTTCTTGATGTAAAATGTCAGGCGGAATATTTTACTGGAGATTGCTAAGACATGGGAAGACCAGGAGAGATCAGAAGAGAGAATGAGTCCAAGATACTTAATTTCTGATTTGATTCCTATATCATTGTCGTCAATTTTACAACTGTCATGAGAATCGATGATTTCTTTTAACTGTCGTTTACATCTTAAGCTGAAATCAACAGTTTTAATCTTAGAAGGATTCAGTTTAAGACCGTTAGACTCAGACCATTTGCTGACTTCCGATAGAAAGCTATTTATTTTAGTACAATCTAGCTGGGAGTTAACAGCCATTGAAACCGTTAAATCATCAGTGTACTTCACAAAGTTTATTTCATCAGAGTGAGGCAAGTCATGCAAGAAGAAAGAAAAAAGAAAAGGAGAAAGAACAGCACCTTGAGGGACACCAGCTTCAGTAGGCAATGAAGTGGAAGTCTTCCCTTTATATACGGTGTACTGCTTTCTATCTGAGAAATAGGAATGTAACCAGTTAACAGCCCAACATTCTGTTTGACTAGCAGCAAGTTTATTTAATAAGATGTCCCTAGGGACCGAGTCGAAAGCAGATGTATAGTCTAGGAAGGCGCAACGAACAAATTTAGCCCCCTTGTCTAGACTGGAAGCAATGTTATGATATAAGACGGCAGCTGCATCTAAAGTGCTTCTACTGTGCTTATAGGCAAATTGTTTAGGGTCATTAAAGGATTTAAGCGAAGGTACAAGACTAAGTAAAAGTAATTTCTCCATAGTTTTCAAAAAAGGAGAGGTAATAGCAATGGCTCTAAATTTGAGACATGCTCCAGTGGATGATTTAGGTATGGGTACAACTTTAATGTCCTTCCAAACGGCAGGCACAATATTATCGGAAAAAGATTTGTTAAATAGATCGGTGAGAGGGTGACACAGAATATCAGAACATTTTTTAAAGATAATACTAGGTACATAATCGGGACCTAAGCTCTGGGAAGGGTTTAGAGACTTGAGGCACTTTTGAACATCATTTGTGTTAAAACCTGGAAAGGGGTTATTATTAACACAAGTGATGCTGGGAAGCATGGCATTTGAGGGAGAGTAAATAAAAGATTTGTTAAGAGTACATACATCAAAAGAATATGGAATAATGTTTATCTGCTTACCACCGGTGATTTCCTTAAATAGTTTCCACATATTAGAAGGATTTTTGCAGGATATGAATTTCTGGTTATATATTACATTCAACCTCTGCATTTCAGACTTAATTAAGAAGTTAATTCTTTTTACACCACTTTTATCTTTCATCTTATACAGTTTTTCCTTCTCTCTACGAAGTTTTTTAAGTTGAGGCGAGGCGAAACGGTCAAATTTGACGAATAGTGTTTCTTTTGGACAGCAGATTTCAAAACAGAATTTCAGATAGGATGTAATATTAGAGATATTGTCATCAAGTGAATCATCATTAAACAAATCCCATCTTGTGTCACTGAGCATGTTTCTAAGATGATGTACGTTCTCATTTGAGTAGCATCTGTGAACAACTTTCTTAGACAAGTTTGAGAGGGCTTTACTGTGTAACTTTCCGTAAATTTTGGGTAAGACTCGTACAATACAATGATCAGAATTGAAGAGTGGGGCTCTTTTACGAGCTTCGTATATTCCAGAATCATTTATGAATACTAAATCAAGTGAAGTATTTTGTCGAGTTGGGAAGTTAACAACATTTTCATGGCCCAGCAATGTAATAAAACTGCAGTCGCTGGAGTTGAAGTCGCCGGTCACTATAGATAAGGAGTTACCAAACGAAGCAGCAGCAAAAATAGTGAATTCATCAGCGAAGATAGATAGTTCTGAGGGACTGCAACAAGGTGTGATATAGATATTTGTGACAAAAATGAAGCTATACTTAGATAAGTGTTTAGGTCGACATTTAACAGTTATACAGTCAATATTGTCATTTGAGAATTTGAAGCAGATGTTGTTGGCAGTAGACCACTGAGAATTAATAAAAGTGGCAACACCACCACCTCTCTTCTTCTTTGAGCTGCATCGGTCTTGTCTGTAGATTGTGAAACCACTTAAGGAGACTAAATTATCGTCATATGAATCATGGAGCCAAGTCTCTTGAAGAGTGATTACACCAGTATTACAATATACATTTGAGTATAATAGAGAATGCAAGTAGTTAATCTTGTTCGATAATGACCTGCAATTTGTGCTCATAATCACAGGAACAGTCATCTGATGCATTGGAGTACACTTTAATGATCTCTGCCAACCTCCATGATGCTTTTTCTTAAGGTTATTATATACTCGTAAATCAACGGGTTGAAGACATATTAAATAATCGCGAGAGTAAGTAATGCGACTTGGATACATAATTGAATAACTAAAACAAAATAAATCCGAGGAAATAGATGCAATATGTAGGATGGAAATTTTGGTAGCCCAAGATTTAAGCAGGCCGCCGTTATACAAGTTTATACAAGTCAAGGGACGAATCCATGAGGACGTCGGAAACTTCTTCCATGACATTTTCAGGGAGACTCACAATTACCCAGTTTACTTTCGTTTCCTGTGAGTGTATATGTTTGAGAGTGAACAAAGCTTCTACATGGTTGAACCAAGCAACAGGACGATGTGTCTAAAAAGTGGGGAGTTGCAAGGTTATAGCCATTTGCGAAGCACTGTTGTCAGTCATTTTGCGGACAGAAGGATATACTAACGGGGTAATACGACAAAAACACGTGCGAAAAAAACGAATAAAAATTAGTAACTCTATGTGAAAAATACATACAGAAAAAGGTGGTCAATATGAAAAAGGACTAAAATCACGTCAAGCTAAAATGGAGGCAAACGATGAATCATGTCGGGCTCACCACTTGTAAGAGCTATTACGGCTTAAAGTAGACCTCAACTCTAAACACTCTTACAAAACTTCTTCACCGTTTTACGCCCTTAGCTGTACGCTACTCAACGTGCAAATACTGACGAACTGACTCAAGGTAAAAAGACTTGGTGTGACAAGTGAATCTAGGACAATTATATTTTACACAACGAAATATGAAATTCAATAAATAAAGAGGTTGTACAACTTATCTGCAGACGTTGCTGGAGGTAGGCTCGAAGAGTGTGCAGAATGAGAGCACAACGAGAGAGCGAACCAATGAACGTACAGAAGAGTCACAACACAAAAGATCAAAGTGTCTCAAACCTGGGTGAGCGAGTTTAAACAAAAGTTCAAGGGTACAATATGCACTACAGGTTAAGGTTAGGTTTAGAGTTAAATTTAAGGTCGGAAGTTAGGATTATGGTTAGACTTAGGAGTGGTTAGGAGAATAGTGCCAGAAATATCAATGGACCCCAAAGTATTGTAGTGCAGCTTCAATGTTTTCAGTTTTGTTTCAATGTGGACTTGTAATATTGGCGCTACACCATGTTGGCACGATCCCCCACCGTTCTACCACCACTGAAGTCTTCGAGCCTGCTAGTCCGCATCACTCCAGATAAGTTGTACAATATTCTTATTTGTTAAATCTGTGTTAAAAATTGTAATTCTTATAAGGGGGAGGGCACATTACCAAATGACGTAAGCCGTTTTGCTTCGAGTTCATTAAATGGTACTTACAAGTTAGGTGGATTACCGACTGGGGTATTGAGAGAAGTCTTTAGCAAGTGCAGTTAATTAAAGTCTACCTAAAGTGCAACCTAGCTACTTGCAATTGGTCAGCCTCACACTGACTTTTCTACATCATCTCGGCCCAAAGATTTTACTCGAATTGTTTAATTTATCGTGGTGTCTCATTCTCCTTTTTACTTAGCCCAGTTTCACCACTGCTTTTGTAATGGTGTTATTTTGTTTTGTATTGTTTGTATACGTTGCCTCGCCTAGCTACTTTAAGTGCCATGGCCTGCAGTCACCTGGATGAACAGGTATACAGTTTACAGTTTACAATTTATTTAGGATAGTAGGCTATATGCCTGTGTTAATCCTTTCGATTTATTTCATACAGGAGGTCCAATCTCGCCTTGAATGAATCAACGGATGGCGCTGATACGACATGTTCCGGTAGGGAGTTCCAATGGTTCACAATTCGATGCGAAAAACGGATTTCCAGACGCAGACGATTCGACCGTGGTTTTTGAACCTTGAGGTGATGTCCTCGCAATTGGTTGGTGCTAGAAGGAAGAAATAATTTAGATAAATTAGCTCCAAAATCATTTCTTAGGATACGGTATGCTAGTATTAGGTCACCCCTAAGTCGTCTGTATGACAGTGGAAATAAACCCAGTCGACTTAACCTCTCCTCATATGACAGGGTTGAGAAACCCTTTATTAGCTTAGTTCCTACTCTTTGCACCCTTTCTAATAAGTCAATTTCGTATTTGAAACACGGGCTCGCTGCCTGGATCCCATATTCCAAATGAGGTCTGATATAAGTCGGATATAATATACGAAATATATCAGCGTCAAAGTTCGCAAAAGCCTTGCGTATGGCCCATAACATTCTAAAACCCTTAGTGGCTGCAGTTCTACAGTTTGTTGCTGTTTTCAAGTCATGCTGCACAACCACTCCCAAGTCCTTGTACTCAGTGACCACTGGGAGAGTAATGCCATTCATTGAGTAATTGTGCACGTGACTATGGGATACATGCATAACTACACTCTTGCTTAAGTTAATCTCCAAGGCCCAGCGCTTACACCAATCACTTAACAAGTTTAAATCTTCCTGCAAAGCAAGTTGATCACTGTCATCGTGCAAAGCCCTCCATATCTTGATGTCATCAGCAAACAGTAAGCAGGATGACTTAACTACCGATGGAATCTCATTAACATAAATCAGGAAAAGAAGTGGGCCTAGAATTGTACCCTGAGGAACGCCACTCTTAACCGATTCCCATGTTGATAAAACCCCGTTAACTCGTACTCTTTGTCTTCTGTCCTTTAGAAAGTCTTGAATCCAGTCGGTAACCACTTTATTGATTCCCAGACTACCTAACTTTACTAGAAGACCTGAATGAGAAACCCTGTCAAACGCCTTGCTAAGGTCTATGAATATGGCATCCACCGGTATATTAGCATCAGCTGAGCTTGCCCAACTTTCTCTGGCCAAAAGAAGGTTGGTCAAGCAAGAATGACCTGCTCTAAAACCGTGCTGTTCCACAGCGAAAAGTTTGTTCCCTTCAATGAACTGAATGATAGCATCACGAATTATTCTTTCTAGTAGTTTAACAACAATACTGGTCAAACTAACAGGACGATAGTTCTGAACTAAGTTTCTAGATCCGGTTTTGAAGACCGGACTAATGATGGCATCTTTCCAGTCTCTTGGACATTTAGACTGGTCCAGAGACATATTGAAGATTACCGACAATGGCTCGGCTATGCTTTCAGCCAATGCTGTTAATATACGTGGGTGGAGTTCATCAGGGCCACTGGACTTACCAGGATTGAGCCTTAGAAGCCACTTTAGGACAGTATCCTTTCCAATGTATAAGGGTGCCATTTTCAAGTTACCTTCTGGAAAATTTACAAAGCTGGTATCAATTTTATCAGAGAATACTTGACTAAAGTGCTTGGACAAAGCCTCAGCCTTGGTCAAGTTATCCTCAGCCATGTTTGTCTGGTCATCTTCAAGCATAAGAGGTGGGATAGCATCACTCTTACGTGTTCTTCTCTTGATATATGAGAAGAGTCTTTTTGGGCAGCCTGGTGAACTTTTAACTAACTGGGTTTCGTAAGCTATCCTTGACTGGTGGATCAAAGTTTTACACTGGTTTCTGGTTTCACAGTATTTCAGCCGGAACTGCTGTAGCCCAGTAGAAACAAAGAGATTCCAGAACCTTTTTCTCCGTCTCAGGAGTGTTATAGCTTGTCTATTTATCCATGGTGGCCGATTTGTTGGCCTTTTAGGAACCCTCCAGGGGATGAGATCAGTGGTAACCCTCTCAAGTGTATTCTTAAATCTATCCCATTCATCTTCAATGGATGAGACAATGTTGACTGACCAGTCGGCAGTTGAAGCACGCTCCTTTATAGCCACTATGTCAGCATGCCAAACACTAGGCCGGGATTTGGGTTGAAAACTGACTAAATTGCCAGCCCTTAAGTTAAAATCTAACACCCCATGATCACTGTTTGCTAGAGGTGGATGAATAACTAGACCATCCACGTCGTCGTTGTCATGAGTAAGCACTAAGTCCAGCAAGGAAGATCCTTGGGTAGAACCGAATCTTGTACTACCTAAGACATGTTGTGTCAGGGCATTTTCCATGGTTGTCAAGAGTAACCGGCTGTCAAACTTATCAGCGGATCCTGGAGATGTGACAGCTACCCAGTCTATATGAGGTGCATTAAAATCACCTAGAATAAGACAGCTACTGTGTTTACTCCATTGTTTGAGGTGATCTAAAATGAAGTCATCACACTGACAATAGGGACTTCTATACAGAACTCCAATGAGTAGAGTGCCGGTTGCAAAGCTTACTTCACAGCTAATTACCTCACCTGTCCCACTGTCATGAGCTTCAGATTTCACGGAACGAACATGTAGGGAGTTGTTGATGTACAGAGCAACCCCGCCACCTCTACGACCCTTAACTCTGTCGCTGCGCAAGCAACTAAATCCGCATAGCTCAGGTGTGTCATCTAATCCCGAAACCAGCCATGTTTCAGTAATGGCCACAATACCTGGGCTAAGGTCTTCTACTAATACACCTAGCTCGTGAAATTTGTTCCCGATACTACGTATATTAGTGTACACTACCTTCAGGCTTCCTATGCGGTCTGGCCTATCCACACAGGTCTTGGAAGCATACGTTTCCAAGACCTGACTATTTGAAAACCCACCAGTTTAAGGTTAGTCTCACCATTTTTGCGTCTTGTTTCTAGCTGGGACAAAACTTCTTTTCGTTTAAGTCTGTCTTCAAGAGATAAATCAGGTCTGGCTGAAATTCCTGACCCGGCAAGGTTGTGTACATTAGCCAGTAGATGATTCCGTTCATCAGGAGAACCTAAGACTACTTTAAGCAACCTACGCTGATTAGAACATTCATCATCTCTTTTGCCTATTCTAATCAGCTTTTTAATCGATACTCCAGGGAAATTCGCTGGGAGCATCTTCCTTATAATACTACTCACTAATTTAAGGTCGTGATCGTGCCTTTTCACGGGATCAGATTCTTTGGACTCTTCCAAATTTCCAACAATTATGTTAGAGTCTAAGGAGAGCTTGTCGTATTTAGCAGTGGCTACGTCCTTTCTCACCACTATTGATGCAGCCTGGCTACAGGTGACAGACGTTTGCCTACCATCAATATTACTATATTTCTTTCGACTGCTTATTTTTGTTACCCATTTATCATCTGCCTGCAGTTGCTTCTCAGGGCTGCTGCAGTTTTTGATGGTACAATCAAGATCAGTGTCTGCGCCACCTTCATGGTGAACTTCGCTTACGGTGTTCTCTGGTTCTGAGGTGCTGTTTACAGCTTCCGTTTTTTACCTTTTCGCTTACTAAGACGCTTCGAACGCCTAGTAGGTTTTACTTCCGGGGTAACTGGGATAGTAACCGCCGGTGTGATAACATTCATGATGGCACTTACTGCTTCATCTTCAGACGGGCAGTCCGTGTCACTCTTACTAGCCACGCTATCATCAGGAAGTTCCATGGCTTTAGAGAGCAGTTCGTGAGCCTCCCTTATTAAGGTCATCTTTGGGGAGCAACACATTCTGCACATCCAGTGGGATGTTGGAGCAGTACAGCGTTTGTATGCAGCTGGACGTAATCCAGTACACATCTTATGATACCATTTTTCACAGTTATTACACTGTATTCCATCATCTACCAAAAAGTAACACTCCGCCCTATTACATTTATGTGGTACTTTTGACATCATGAAATTCTACTGGAAACAGCCAAGACAATTTACCCAATATAGAATATATAAGTGGTTAAAATCAAAACTTAACAGACAAAAGTCAAGTTAAAGTTTTTTTTAAATGTTCTTGAAGTGAATAACACAACAAAACAGCG